TTGCGAGACATCTAAATTAATTGACTTAATTATATTAATCTAGTAAAGTTTTTATAGATGAATTAGTAATTGATGGCTTTGACATAAATTTTATTTTTTTAGAATTTCAAAATTTCTAATATTATAAATTTATCCAATTTTTTGAGCCTAATCCGATACATTAGTGATTTCTTTGTATGAAGTATTTTTTATCCAATTTTTTAAAATAAAAACGATTTGTTTCCGATTTTATGGTGAGCCGATTTATTGATAGTCCCCGACTTGCTAACTATGGTCCCATCGCCTTTTTTCACGCCAATTGGGAGCCACCTGGTGCGAAGAAATTCTCACACTTAATTACATGGCAGAGTTCTTTCGTGTGAAAATACTTTCACTTAAGTATTTTCATATATTCCAAAAGTGCCCATGTATTGAGTTTTCTTGTACGTATTCATAAATATGTAGGTTCATGCATCGATTTACTTGGAATGAATGGATTCATTTATAAATCAATGGTTCGCTTCAAACGGGGTCTTAAAGTTGAAAGTTGAAATTTGATTTTGGTATGTTTTGTAAGATTGAGACAATTTTGAATATTGATTTATACCTTTTTTTGTATAATACATGCATTAAATAATTACATAAGTTTTTATGAGTCCGTTACAAATTCATGCATGTTTTCAAGGATTTTAAGACCCGAAGCACATCCCAAATCTCTATAAATTAATTTCTGCCTCAAATCTAGGAATTTGGAGCTCCATTGTGTGGACAGTGGACCTGATGACCTTTGAATAATTCATAATAAACGGTCCAAAAAAAATCGTAATTCATAATCACTCTTGTCTTTTAGATTTCAAATTGAGTAGTTATAAGCATGTTATTGACTAAACTCCAAGTTTAAGAAAAAAATTCTCAAACTTTGTGATGACATTGATAGGTGCATTCAGAGATGCATGTGGTTTGTATGAGGTTGAAGCCATAGACAATCAAAGCAAGGCACACATTCAAACCGTGTCAAAGATGTCGTTTCAACACTAAAAATCATTATGATGCCTGCAAATTTATTTTTATCTCTAATTATAAAATTTGAAGCTTAAAAAATAGTGTACATCAAGCATATCTATGAACACTTGAAAATCTTAAAAATTGACGATCTAGATAATGCATCACAAGATGTAATATTTACAAAATTTCAAGTCCATTTTTTTCTACGTCCATATATCTCAAGGTCGAGATGATTGGATTTGAGGGGTTTACAGCAGCGAAACAACTTTTTCCTGTGAATTTTTGATGTTCACCTTGGTTTGATTGTTTAAGGCTTATATAAACTATTTCCTTCAGGGATACAACACAAAAAGGCTTGTACTTAGATTGAAAATTTTGAGGCTTCAGCTTTGTTTGGAGGCATACCATGAATGCAGTCCTGATTATGGAGACCTTTCTATTTGAGCCTTCTTGCCCAATGCATTGCACCGGGCCCTCTCTCTCTACAACCGTTAACACTAAAGACGTTACTTTCTTCTCCCAGTCTCTTTCTTTTTATCCTAATGCTATTCTACTTTAATCCCAATATCTCTCTCTCTTTATTTTAGTCTCTCTCTCAAATACATGTCTCTCTCTTCCTCTTCAAATTTTGTCCTTCTCATTCTCTCTTCACTTTTTTTTTTTGGCTCACTATCTCCCTCCAAATTTTGTCTCTTTGCTTCCCTCAAATGCATCTTACTTCTTAATCTATTCTCTTGTGCCATCTTAGACATATATACATTCTCTCTCACTCACTTTTCAAAAAAAATTTTTATTGAATCTTTTTTTTTTTTCTTCTAATTCACTATAAGTCTTATATTAAGAAAAAAGAAAAAGTTTATGTAAGATTGAGGCCCTAAACAATCAAACTAAGGCATACCTCAAAATTTTGTTAGAAAATGTTGCTTCAATGTCGAAAAAACTTCATATTGATCATCTCGACCTAGAGATGTACAAACATGAAAAAAAAAAAAAGGATTTCAAGTATCGGAAATAGTGCATGTTACAATATATTATCTTGACTATCAATTTTAATTTTTTTTCAGGCATTTACTTCTTTTGCTCGATTGGCACCATTTAGTGGGCTTTTAAGTTTTCATAATTAGAAATCATGCCCTTAAAAAAAATAAAGCTTTGTTTTTTTTTTCAAAAAAAGTAGACCATCAATTTTAATTTTTTTTTCGAGTATATACTTGTTTTGCTCAATTGGAACCATTTTTTGGGCTTTTAAGTTTTCATAATTAGAAATCACACCCTTAAAAAAATAAAGTTTTTTTTTAAAAAAAAAAAGATAAGTAGCCTTGTTAAAAATCAAACAACAATCTCTTCTAGGCTATTATTAATAATTGATTGCATGCATGTTGCCAGCATTGGACGAGAAATCATTCATATAATATAAATTAAAATACTAAAAGAGCATATTTTAGTAGGGGGAGTGGATTCTGTCAGCCTACAAGCTGATTGCTACAGTGTCAGCCAATGACCCAGATTTAATGTGGGCTGATCTAACGGTTACAATCTCATTTCGTATTTGAATTTTCATTTTTTTTCTACGATTCCAAATCATTTGAACTTTTAGGCATTCGTTCTTCTCATCAAGGAGCACCTAATAAAAATATAAAAAAACATTATTCATAAATATAAATTGATCAAAATACCCTCCAAATGTTTCGAAGGTATTTTTATCAATTTATATTTTGTAAATTATTACTTTTTTATATTTTTTATATTCTTTTATTTTTTAAAAATAAAAGCTTCAAATTTCAAGTAATTTGGATTTGTAAAAAAAAAGAAAAGAAATTCAAACATAAAATGATATCGTGACCGTCAGATCGGTCCAGATTCAATATGGACCATTGACTGACATTACAGCTATCAGCCCGTGACCTGACGTGATCTTTTCGCTTTAGTCAGTTATCAAGTATCTTAGACATAGTCACCTCTCTCTCTTTCATTAATAGATAGACATAGTCACCTCTCTCTCTTTCATTAATAGATTGAGCAAGTTCAGGCATGCAAAAATGTCTCATAAACTTCTATTGAGTCGGATACACCTAGCTTTGAGTGAGGGAGGTCAAGAGTTTTTATATTTAGATATTTTTTAGTATTTAGAAAATTGGAATGGGCCTCTACCCAGTACGTATCTAATACTGACTCTGCCGGTCAGTCTAACAATTCTAAATTGTACTTAGCGACAATTTACTAAGGAAATTAAACCAATAGAACCACAATGATTTTGCGGAGTCTTATCTTGAATATTCCACTTCATAATTCCAATATGACTCGGCCGGTTCCACATCAAATTGGTGATTTTTGAATCACTAGCTAGGGTTCAAACAGTGGGCACTAGTATAGGGCGGGCTAGGGCCAGCCTTGGCCCTAGCTTGATTCTGATCCCCAAGGGATTGGCCCAACCCGACCAAACAGGCCTTGGTCCTCTCAAGGCCAAGCCGACCCAAAGGGAAAAAAAAAAAAAAAGATAAATGAAAGGGCCAGGCTGGCTCGTTTTGGCCGGGAACAACCCGGCTGAGCCCTTCCCTTGCACCACATTTTATCCTTGCACCACATTTTGGGCCCGACCACCAGGCCCATTGTCACCCCTGCACTAGTGTTGCTATGTTAAGAGAGAGACTAAGATCATTTTTGACATTTGAGCAAAAGCCGTGAGCACAATGAACCTGCAACAAAAAATGCGATACTGCGATGTTATGTTAAGTGGTAAAAATTTCTTATTAAATATCTATTTTTACAAGTTTTGTAAGAGAGAAATTCGATAAATTTATTTGTAACCAACCGATATAATTTTCTATCTATATTTTTAATTATTTTATCATGGGAGTCATGTGCGTTTACTCGAGGAGACACGTGATCTCCAAAAATATAAAAATATATCAGGCCTACCACAATCATTATTATGAAAAAAAGTTAATTTTGAGCTTACAAATATCTATTTTGAACTTTTTAACATCAATATTAAAACTTCAAATATCACAAGTTTTACATTGTTTTTCAAACCCCAACAAAAAATTTATATTTTTGAAGAAGAAAAGCAATTGTTTGGTTTTAAAACTTTTTGTTTTTGAAGTTCAAACTCTATGTCACACCCCAAGCCATCTAATTTAACAACTAATGACTATGAATAATTGTAATATCCTCGTAACAAAGATAATTGATCTCGTACCACTCAATCCGTAGTTGCTCACAAAGTCTAGGACATATGTGTCGTCTCCAATAAAATGGAAAAAGATAAAGAGTTGTTTGGTGTTGCACTTATTCAATTATTCATTTCAAAAACTCGGATTTTGGATCTAAAGTTTTATAAATGAATAATGTCTAGCGCCACCACAATCATGAATAAAAAAATTAAAATATATCGTTTTAAAAATTGCTTATGGACCTTTTGTTTTAGTTATTTAAAATAAGTTATTTTAAATTTTAAAACCTGTTATTTTTATGAAATTTATTACAAATTTGTAAATTAAATCCAAACTTCTTTTTTAAGATGGATATTAGAAAAGGGACCACATTTAATCTTTTTTTAGAATAATATGGAATGAGGCATTTTTCCAGCAAACAATTTATAAGAGGGAAAACTTGTGTGTCGTTACTGAAAAACGCAAGGGTGTATTTTCTCAAAAAAACTGAAAATGGAAAATAAATAAATAATAAGAAAAATGTTTTACTGGCTACACCGTATTTCTATAAAAAACGGTCCAAAGGTATAAAAACATCATTATTAAGGATGGACTCAAATAGGTGGTCCATTTAAAAACAGGCTTAACTAACTGTCTAAGTATTTCTTAATTCAATTATTATTTCTAGTTTTTATTTTTCACCATAGTAAAAGATTACATATTCCCTAAAAGTTAGGATTAAAGTATATTTAAAAAATATATTTATTGCGAAGCACGCATTTTGCTGGCCGCATAGAAACCGTATATGCAAAGTCCAAAACGGTAATAAATGAGAACATAAGTAGGCAGTAATAACCTGGTTTCACCCTCGACTACATAAGGGCACTTCGAGCCCTCTTTCGCCCTCTTCTCCCCCACATTCTCTCTCTCTACAGATTTTCTTTCTCTCTCTGATCTAACCTAATTTTGATTGGATTTTTCTCATATTGGGGCTTTGATATCTACTCATTTCCCTCCATTAAATCCCATTTTTTGGGGTTTTTTTTTCTCGTTATTTAAGCCTCAATTTTCTGGTTTTTAAGCAATTTTTCACAATGCCTTCTGCATATGGAGACCGAATGACCACCTTCGAGGACTCAGAGCGGGAGAGCGAATATGGATATGTTCGCAAGGTATGATTTTGTATTTTTTAAGATGTTTATTTCTTGTGTTTTCTGGTTTTTGTGTTATTATTCAAAATTTTGCGGTGAATTTGCATTTTTGGAGATTAAAATTTGGGAGAATTTGGTGTACTTGCACTACTTGAGGTAGATCGGTGCCCATTCCTGCTGTTCCACTGATTTAATTTTTGCAAGTGAAAGAGCTCGTCAAGATATATATTTTTTTATTTTTTTTATTTTTTTTATTTTTATCATTATCATTACTATTGTAATTTTTGTTTTTTTGAGGTGCAGGGTCATGTTTTTCAGTTCAGGACTTTTTGTTTTATATTTAATTTTTTTGATAGTTTGGGATTAATTTTTACTGTATTATTGATCTATTTTATGGTTTAAAATTTAAAGTATGAAGCTTTTAGTATACCACTGGTTACATTTTTTTTGTGTTCTTTATTTGTCAAATTGACACTGATGATTCTGTAAATCTGTTTTTGTTTTTTGCTTCTGTTTTTTTTTTTTGATCTTTCCTGCATTTTGCTAGTGTTTATTGATTAAATTGGGTAAAATGAACAAATGTTTTTTTTTTTTTTTTCTTATTTTCATTTTGTTGATTTTGGGTATGATGCATCTGCTAAGTTGTTCCTTTCATCTATGGGTAGTGCATGGGTGGATGGTTTTGATTGTTTCATCCAAACATGTATTTTAGAAACTTAATCATCCATTCCACAGTGGTGGTACTGTATTTTAGTTATGTAATTAATGTGTCTCATGCAATTGGGTCTTTGGATTTAAGTTTGTGAGAATGCCCCCGTGTTTTAATAGTTTATGTTCTTTTTTCTAATTCCTTTTAAATAAACTTTATTTATAAGTTATGATTTCGCAACGAAACGATTTTGAAGTAAATCCATTTGCTTCCCCTTAGACACATGTTATTCTTCAAACCTGAATTACTTTTTTTTTGAGATGTTATTTCTCTAAACTAAGTTCATTTGGTTGCACATGTTATTGCTCCAGACCGAGTTTATTTTTTCCCTTTAAACACATGTTATTTCTCGTAACTATCTGTAAACTGATTTCTATTGGGATTTTCTTGACAAAGTTTTTATAGTTTGAAATTTCCAAAGTTGAAAATCTGAATTTTATTTTTTAAAATGAGATTTAAATGCCAATGATATCAAGGGTTTAGTACGAACTTGGATTGGGAAACAACCCATTGATGAAAGGCAAGTGGGAAGATCATTATGCATTCTATTTTAGACTTAACCTTTTTTTTTTTGAACTTTAATTGAAAGAATACTATACTTGAAATGATCCTTGCCTTTCAATCCCAAGTTACTTGTTATTACATAATGATAGATGATCTTTCTCCTTCTTTAGCACTAACAGGTGCATTATTTTACAGGTGTCAGGTCCTGTTGTGGTCGCTGATGGAATGGCCGGAGCTGCTATGTATGAGCTTGTTCGTGTGGGTCACGACAAGCTCATAGGGGAAATCATTCGACTTGAAGGAAACTCTGCTACAATTCAAGGTGCTTGATTGGTTTCCAACTTACCCATGAGCTGCATTTTCCTTTTGTTTGATTCACAGGCCTATCTTTCTTGTTATTTATCTAGAGGATGAAATCATTTCTGATAGGCTTCTTACTTTGCTTAGTTGGTCATTTTGATTTTCTTTTTCTTCACTTCCCCTTTCCCTCCAAGTGCTGTAACTGGAGTGGATGCTTTCATCTTGTTGAGATTAGCTGTTATATGTTTTATACCCTTAACTATCCTTGTTATGGTTTGCTTTTTTCTTTTTGATTTGTATCCTTGATATCCATGGTCAGTATCCTTGATATGGTTTTGCTGCTTCTATTTTTGCAGTCTACGAGGAAACTGCGGGGTTAATGGTGAATGATCCTGTCCTGCGTACACGCAAGGTATAGGGTCAAATTCTCCACATTCTGTCTTAATGCTTGAGTGGAAATTGTTGCTCTGAGAAATGGAGGAAATTTTACTGGTCTTTTAATTTATGTTAATGAGAAAATGTGTTCCTCTTGCAGCCTCTCTCTGTGGAGCTAGGACCTGGCATCCTGGGGAACATCTTTGATGGAATTCAGGTTTTATGATGATCTTAGTTGTTACCCATTTTCAATTTCCATGATTAGATATTTCAGCTCAGTTACCGTTTGAATGTAGTCTTGTAGTATAGTTCTCTATCTACTTGCAATTGCTGTCTCTGTTAAAGCATAAACCGCATCCTGTACTCCTCTTATAGATTACTAGTATGATCGAGATCTTTGTGCAACTCTTTTGTTCTATATATATGCATTGCTTAATGACTCAATTCATTGCATACAAGTGGTGGTTTAATTATTTACTTTGTTTTGATGTTCGTTTCTCTATTTGACTGCAGAGGCCTCTTAAAACTATTGCCAAAATATCTGGTGATGTCTATATACCCCGTGGTGTGTCCGTTCCAGCCCTTGACAAGGATGTCTTGTGGGAGTTCCAGCCCAAGAATTTTGGTATATTTTACTAAAAGTTGAAGAATTTAACTCTAATATATGCAAGTGACATGCTTTGGTATTTGTGCAATTGGAAAAGTAGTTACTATCCAGATGGTTGTTTTGCTAGTGCCTGCTCCTTGGCCATTGATTGGTGATCTTTATACTTGTTGCAGCTGTTGGGGATCTTCTTACTGGTGGTGATTTATATGCTGTAAGTTTGTAACATTTGCTCTTCTCATGTTGTCTTCATTTCCATTCTGGGCATGACCTTATTGTTTCTTTACTTCTTTGCAGACCGTCTTTGAAAACAGTTTGATGCAGCACCATGTTGCTCTTCCCCCTGGTGCAATGGGCAAGATATCTTATGTTGCTCCAGCTGGTCAATACTCACTCAAGGTTGTATGATGATTTACTTGTTATACAAGCTGTTTGGGCACCATGACAAATGACTTAATCTTTTCATGTATAAGGGTTTATTCTACTGGTATTCTCTGTAAAGGACTCTTGTTAAATACGTTTTACCCTCCTCTGGGAAAAGCTAACACCTTTGTTCTCTGTTGATAGGATATCGTGTTGGAACTGGAGTTTCAAGGTGTAAAGAAGGAATTCACTATGCTCCAGGTAAATTGCGTACTTGCTCTAATTGGTGTTTGAAGGTATGTTTGGTCATATGGAATGGAATGTTTATTTGTCACTGATTTGTTGTTAATACTGCTATAGACTTGGCCTGTTCGTACGCCAAGACCTGTTGCTGCCAAGCTTCCTGCTGATACACCCCTCTTGACTGGACAGGTGATAGCTGGCTTACCCTACAGACACACATAAGAAATATTGATTTATGGCACCCTATCTGCTATTTTTTTTGTTTGTTCAAAATTTTCATTGCAATATTCATATGTTTTTTTCCTTTATTGGCTGCAGCGTGTACTTGATGCTCTTTTCCCCTCGGTCCTTGGGGGAACCTGTGCTATTCCAGGTGCATTTGGCTGTGGCAAAACAGTCATTAGTCAAGCGCTTTCAAAGGTAAGAGTGGTCTCTTATGTTTGATCTATAAATATCTGAATGCTGAAAGATTCTGAAGTTGTTGATTATGATATCTTTGTTTGCAGTACTCTAATTCAGACACTGTGGTCTATGTTGGTTGTGGGGAACGAGGAAATGAGATGGCAGAAGTATGTATTTTACCGTGCTTATCTTTTTGTCATTTAATATGCTTATATTTCTCTGATTTGAAAATTTGAATCGTGGATTGACATGATTATAAAATCATTCAGGTGCTTATGGATTTTCCCCAATTGACAATGACATTACCTGATGGGAGGGAAGAATCTGTCATGAAGCGTACAACACTTGTGGCTAACACTTCAAATATGCCTGTCGCAGCTAGAGAGGCATCCATCTACACTGGTAGGCCATCTAAACTATATATATATATATATACACACACACACACACACAAATAGAAGAGACTAAAAAATTCCTATTGGCAAAAATGAACAGAATTTTCGCCCATAGGCTTGGTGCCGTCCGATTTTTTGGATGGCGTGGATTAAAGACCGTCACAGACTTAGCATGTCCATGGCGGTCTGTCACGGACATAGCAAGTCCATGATGGGATTTTTTTCACGCAAATTTGAAGCAAAAAATATGGGGAGACCGCCACAGCTCCTGTAGGTCAGTGGCGGTTTTTAGGCAAAACAGTCACGGACATAGCATGTCCGTGAAGGGGGCAAAACACTGTAGCACTTCACCTATAGGCATTTTTAAGACTTTTCCTATATTTCTATATATCTAGAAGCTTAAAAATAGTCTAGGTTTTCTTTCCCACTGACGCATTCGAAAGCCGCTAATTATTTCTAAATAAAAAAACGGGTTGGGGCCTGTATTCCCCACTGATCTACGCAAAAAAAATGTGAAGTAACATTCTTATTTCAAGCAGAATGCTGCTTTGTGGCTATAAAAAATGTATATGTTTGGTTGCCTTTATTAGGGATAGACTCTCATGATAATGAATTATCTCAAGAATTTCTAGTCATGTTGACTGGATAAAAGTTGATGCAGCACATATTTTCTCCATGGTGAGCATTGGAATATAATTGAGGATGTTGTGAGGGATTTCTTTTGGAAATTATTTTATTTTATATTTTTTTATATGTTTTTGAAGTTAGTTTTATTCAGAACTATTGTCTAGTGCCTCTTTCTAGCAGTGCCAAGCGATTTGTTTCAACATTTTGGTATTTTGTTTGAGACTTGTTCTTTCCCTACACAAGCCATGTGTAATGATATTTTATCTGAAGTCTCCTTGTCATCCTTGTACTCAGTTATGAGGGCTTTATATCCAAATCTTTGGGTATTCAATCATTTCCTTTTTTGTTACATTGTTGCAATTGTTGGGGTTAGATATTATCGACCAATTCAAATAGTATGGCCTTTCGCTGATCATTAATGAATGTCACTTTGTGATTGCTCAGTACTCTTAAGGAGAAATAATTCAGTGTGAATGTACTGGATGTGTGCATCTTTTAATGTAGAAGATTGGATACTATCCAAGTAGATGTATACTGTGGAAGTAATGGCAATGCTCTCCTCATGGGCCAGACATGACTTTCTTTTTCTGGACTTGTACATGAGATGGAAATTTGAGTTTTCTCCTGTCTGCGTTATTTTACCTTTTCCTCTTAAGCTTCTAGATCTTTTTTCTATTTAAACATAAAAATTCTCTGTTATTTTTCAGGTATCACCATAGCAGAATACTTCAGAGACATGGGATATAATGTTAGTATGATGGCAGATTCAACCTCTCGTTGGGCAGAAGCCTTGCGTGAAATATCTGGCCGTCTGGTGATTATCTCTTTCATACATAATCCTTTATTGATAGAATTGATTCATTATATTCTCACAATCTGCGTCATCATCAAGGACAGTAATGTGCATCTGCCATTCTTTTGGAGTCAATTTCTAGCTCAAGTTCAATTTCTTATTCTTTTCCTTTCCTTTTCTGCTTGGAATATACATGTGTGTGTGTGCTGGTGTGCATGCACATGTGTGTTCGTTTTTTAGGCCTCCAAGACTGAAGGTTATTTGTTTCAATTTTTTTCTGATAATTCCCAGCAGTTTTAGATTTATAGAATAAAAAGGAAGGGGTGTTATACTGTTCATTATTCAATTTATCCTCTAGGTTCAAGTGAATCAGGATCCTTCCAAATTGAGTGATTGATATTCCTCCTTGTGCGATCCATATAACAATCATAACACATGATGTAGCAGACCCTGATGCAGGATTTAATTTCATTTGGAAATTGTGTTCTCCCTTTCTAAATTTTAATTATGTTTTCTGTTTCTTTTTAGGCTGAAATGCCTGCTGACAGTGGGTACCCAGCTTACCTTGCAGCACGTTTGGCTTCATTTTATGAGCGTGCTGGTAAGGTGAAATGTCTCGGTCGACCAGATCGTACTGGTAGTGTGACCATTGTCGGTGCTGTTTCGCCTCCTGGAGGAGACTTCTCAGACCCTGTTACTTCTGCGACTCTTGGTATTGTTCAGGTTAGCCAAATTCCTTGCTGGGTCTTTTATGTAGTTTGTGAATAAAACGCATGATTTTCGTAGTAAGCACCATTTAAATTTGTACATGCGAATGCACAGGTTTTCTGGGGTCTAGACAAGAAACTTGCTCAGAGAAAACATTTTCCTTCTGTGAACTGGCTGATTTCATACTCGAAGTACACCAAGGTGTGTTCTAACTTTCATTTATGTGCTGAGGGTTCTGTATTTATTAAGTACTGAAAATGATATTTAGTACAGTTCTTGAAAAAGGGAAAAGTCCTACTTATTTTCTAGGGCTCTGTTCAAGTTTGTAATTGTTCTGTAACCCAGTGTTCGCAAAACCGGCCGATCTAACCGCTAACCGGCCGGTTAGATCGGAACCGGCCAGCGACCGGTTCCGGTTTTGGCCGGTTTTGGTGGTCACCCAGTATTTTAAACTTTAAATAGAATAATACTTCACATTCATATCAAATATGTTGGAATGGTGTATTGGTTAGCTTTGACGAGTGGTGTTTATATTATTCGGGGTTCAAATCCCACCAACAGTATTTTAAAAACCCATGAATTAGCCAGCAATTAAAAACCCATGAATTAATTGGTTCAAAAACCATATGCTTTTTTTCTTTTAAAAAACCATGAATTGGTTAAAAAACCATATGCCATTTATTACTTGATCACCATTTGATAAAAATAAGGGTTTATATTATATATAATATAATTTTTTCTTCATTTTTTTTAAGAAAAAAATATCATTTTCTTGAAAAAAAGATCATTTTCTTTAAAAAAAAAAGATAAAAAAAGAAAGATCATTTTCTTTAAAAAAAAATAGTTGGTCAAGTCGATTTTTTTAAAACTATTTTAATATTCTTTACATTATGGTAAACATTAAAAAATATTTTGATCATTGATACTCACTTTTATATTTTCCTAACTTTTCAGAAATTTTTTAAAATACCCCTTGGCACAAATTGACTCGTTAAAATCTATTTTTTCATTAATTTACAACTTCATTTGAGTGTGTTTTGTTTTAATCACTTTCTTTATATGTTTTTCATATTTTAGTAGATTTTTTTTTCTTTTTTATTTTTTAACATTTTTTTAATCGTTCCGGACTTGCCCGGTTAGAGCGGTTGAATCGGCCGGTTTACCGGTTAGGCCGGTTAAATCGCTTGTAGGCCCATGTCTAGTTAACCGTTCCGGTTCGATTTTGCGAACACTGCTGTAACCTGATATTTTTTAAAAAATTGGGGAATGGGGATGTAGCTCTGAATGTATTAAGAAATATAGTTACCAACCAAGGAAACAACCTTATTAAGAAATCCCATTATCTTTTTGACATGAAGTTAAACCATTCATATGTTGTTCCCAATAGTACTAATGCCATGCCATACTGATTGAGTATGGAAGTTGGGGATACGTGCTGTTTACATTGTGTCCCATGTTCACTGAGACAAGACTCCCACTTCACGGTAGCCTAGGCATCTGAAGTTGTGCATAAATTTTATAACTATTATTGGTCTTAATTTTATCTTATTTTAAATTATTTTGGATTTCAAGATTTTTTTAATTGTCATGTTATTCATGCTGCAGGCTTTGGAGTCTTTCTATGAGCGGTTTGACCGGGATTTTATATCTATTAGGACCAAAGCCCGTGAGGTGCTCCAGAGAGAAGATGATCTGAATGAGATTGTTCAGGTACTTACTTTTTCTAGCTTTAAGTGGTATTTTCTTCTGGCTTTGTTTCAGCATCTGCTTTCATTTGTATTTCTCAGTGATCCTCTACATCTATTAACTGTCTTTTCGTGATTACGAGATTCTATCGGTTATGAGGTTCTTGACGCTACAACCATTTGAAACTTCTGCTCAATGTTTCAGCTTGTTGGTAAAGATGCCTTAGCAGAGACTGATAAGATTACACTGGAGACTGCAAAGCTTCTAAGGGAAGATTATCTTGCCCAAAACGCTTTCACACCGTAAGTTTAAGCTGAAACATCGGTTGTAGCAAGATCTGTCTGGTATATCATGTTTTATTTTCACTGGGTCCTGCGCATGTCTTGATTGTGACCTGTTGGAAAATGAACTAGGAAGTTCAACCTATTGGAAGATGAACTAGGAGCGTTCACTTAAAATAGATGAGATAAAATGTTATGAAGATTGTGGTCTTTGTATGTTAGTTTATTACATATATATTGTATACTAAAAGAATAATGCACTGGGCACCCTAATTTCTTTTGTTTGTTTTATGCAGATATGACAGGTACTGTCCGTTCTACAAGTCTGTTTGGATGATGCGGAATATTGTCCATTTTAACACATTAGCCAATCAGGTAATTCTATCTGCTGATTTGTCCTAGTTGTAATTCTTATTTCTAGTTGCCTTATAATTTGTAGTTAAAAAGTTTTTGCCCTTCTCTTGCCACATGCTTGGAATAGGTTTCGGAAAAAAAAAACGTGGACATACACATGCAAGCACAAAGAGAGAGAGAGAGAGAGAGAGAGAGAGAGAGAGAGAGAGAGAGTAGAGTGT